GCAGAGAGCAATGCAATAATTGATGGTGAAGTCCCCAATGAATGAGCATGATGAGCATGATCATCCAACACAGGAAGAGCATGATCTATAAAGGAAAGGGGGACAAAGCTGACATAAACAATTACTGTCCTATAAAAGTGACATTAGTGGTCTACAGGCTCGCGATGCAGACTATAAAGGAGAGACTGCAGGCATGGATAGAGGACGAGGGGGGCTGGGGGGACTGCAGAATGGGTTTTGGAAGCACAGGAGGTTGGAAGACAATCTCTTCTCACAGGTACAGGGGATCGAAATAGCAGAAAAAGAACACAGGCCCCTGTGGCGAGCATTTTTAGATATCAAGGGAGCCTACGATAGCGGGGTTCAAGAGGAATTGTGGGGAATACTGGACACACTAGGCGTGGAGCATGTAGTCACTAATCTTTTAAGGATATCTATAAAGGTAACAAGGTAGCTATAAAGTGGGAAAAACAGGTACCCAAGCCTGCAGAGGTAAAATGGGGGCTCAGACAGGTGTGTACACTGTCACCATTCTTATTCATGATATACCTACAAGGATTAGAGGCCAAATTAGAGGGAAGTGAACTTGACTTTAACCTCTATTTTGTCAATCAAGGAGAGCTCATTGAGCAGGCACTACAGGCATTGATGTATGCAGATGATACAGTGCTAATGGCTGATAAAAAGAAAGATTTGCAGAAATTGATTGACATCTGCGTTAATAAGGGAGATAGGTTAGATTTCAGATTCAGTAAGGAAAATCAACAGTCGTGATTTTTGATGATAATGAAGGTAGTGAGCTTGAGATACAGGTAGTCACGCTAGAGATAACAGATAAATACAAATCTCTGGGCGTATGAATAAGCAATGGGACCGAGTACCTAAGGGAACAGGAAATACAGTCACGCCCGCATATAACGGCCCCACTTAAAACGAACTTTCGCTTAAAACTAACAATATCTGCGTGACCGTGTAAGTATACATTGGTTCAATGGCACGAAATTGCATTTACAAGGAACGTCTCCAAGCGCCGCTGATCGGTTACAGCGAGCGGAGCCGGTGGTGTGCTGACTTCCTAGGAAACCCATTTCCACCACCTATCAGGCATTCGCAAGGTGCCCATACATTCTTATTATTAAATACCGACCCTGCCTCTGCGCCCCTCTAGTTGCTGCTCTCCCCGACCACTTTTTATTACGCACACCTCCGTCCTTTGCCCCCTCGCTACTCTGAGCACCCGGCATCGCCAGACGAGGCCCGTGTTTTTACACTGCCACCGATCTTTCGAAGACCGGTCCGCCTGTTTTCGATCGCTGGTACTGTCGTTGGCGTCGCCATCCTGGAGTGACCACACCATTTGCCAACATCGTCGGCCACCGACTGTATCCGATGGTCTGCGTTTAGTGCACGCGCGTACGCTACCCCTTTGACTCTGATAATTTGCGATTCGTTTCGTGCTTACGACTTGTTCTCGCTCACTTCGCGCTTGGCTCAGCATGCCTTCAGCGCAGGTGCGGAAGCGCGAAAACGGCTGTTAATTTGCGCGAAACGAATCGCGAAATATGAAGTTCGTGAGGCCACGCAAACTCGCCGGCGCAACAAAATGTTTTTTTGACCACGGCCGCCGATTCTTCGAACACCGCCGAGCGCACTGATTCAGGCGGCCATGCACTCTTTCCAAGTTTTCCTACGTGCGAGTTTCGCGGATCTTCCAAGCATGCTACCCAACCTGCCTCCTTCCAGTGTGTTTTGGTTTTCAAAGTCGCCCTCCCGCCACGTCCTCCCCTCCCTTTGTGGCGGCTCCTTGCCTTTCTCTCGCAAGTCTGCTCTCATCTCTTAATCACAACCCCTTCGCCCGTCTCCCCCACTCCGCGACACCCACCACGCTTTCTTTTCTTTTCGTTTTCTGACTAGAAACGGGCCCAGAGCTGTTCCACGCGTTGTGGCATGTGTGTCGTGTGTGCGCGTCTTGCTGGCTCTTCGTGTGCGTGTGTGGTCATGATGGCCGATGGGAGGACTAGCACGCTTTTTCCTGCTGGTCAACAAGACGCCGAAAGTGTGACTGCTTGGCTTGGCTTGAGTGTAATCCGCGCGTTAGATGCCACGTTGCGGAGCGCTTGCTTATAACTGTTGACCACCTTGCTGCGAGCTTGCCTCTTCGGGCGTCCCGGTATTCAGCTGGGGAGATGGTGAATATTTCGTGGGCGGCGGTGACGGCTACATGCACACGGTACTGTTTTAGCGAGGCCGACTTCGTCGATGTCGGCCCCGATGCCGAGCCTGAAGCTTCCGAACAGGACCACTGCGGCGGCGGTTTGTGGCAGCGCGTCGTCGACTCCGACCTGGGAGAGCGGGCGGGACATCTGTTGCGATGATATAATTATGGCCGATGATGATGCCGACACTGTGGAACCGTGGACGATTAGGGAATCGTGAATGAAGTACGTGGCGAGAACGATTTGGAAAAATCGAATTGCGAGAACGATGGAACTTTAGAGCTAGTGCCTCATGCAGCTTATGCCACGGGCCTCGGCGAACGAGCACCCTGCCGTTTTAAATGAACTCGAGACCACCCTTATTGCTTCTCTTCTTCGAAACAGGTGCATCTTGGACTTTTCGGGACAAAAAGTTGGTGTTTTCACTCGCAACTTTCTTTAAACGTTGTGTTTTATTTACTAAGAACTTCAGGATACAGCGAACGGATGCCGCGTCATGCTCAGGTTCGTTATAAGCGGGCTTGACTGTATACGTAACGACTAAAGGTAACAGGAATGCAGCATTGATGAAAAATAAGGCACTGTGGAATTGCAATAGGTATGATGTTGTGAGAGGAATATGGAAAGGGGTCATGGTTTTTGGTCTGACGTTTGGCAATGCGGTCTTGTGGATGAGATCAGAAGTTCAAGCAAGATTAGAAATTAAGCAACGTGGAATAGGTAGGCTTGCTATAAGTGCTCACATAATACACCAAATCAGGGAGCACAAGGTGATATGTAATGAACATCATTTGAGGGCAGGTAAGCTATCAGCAAGATAAATTTGAAAAGCGATTGAGAGAAATGGTGGAGAAGCGTTGGGCTAGGAAGGTTTTTAGCTACTTATACATGAAGAATGTCGATACAAAATGGAGTAAGCGAACCAGAAATTTGATGGGTAAATACTCAGAAAACAGCAGGGGGCCAAACAAAAAAGAATTATCGGTTTACGAGAAGGTGAAGGAAACGGAGACCGAAATGTGCAGAATTGGCATGATTAGGAAGTCCGCACTAGAGATATTTCAAACTTTGAAGCAGGAAATTACTAAGGAAAGGATCTATGATAATACTCGGCGTAGTTCTCTACTGTTTGAGGCCAGGACGGGAGTATTGTGAACCGAGGCATATCGGGCGAAATACGAAATGGTAGACACTGTATGCAGTTCATGTGGATAAGAGGAGGACACTGTCGAACACCTGATCATGTTCTGTAAAGAGCTTCACTATATAGTTCAGGATGACGGTGCAGAGTTTTTTAAAGCACTGGGGTTTAGGAACTGGGAGGGCGAAATAGACTTTAGGCGGGTAAAATTACTAGAAGTAGGTTATCTGAATGGTGGCTAAAGTCAAGACAGGAGCGAAATATAAATCCTTCACTGCGAAGTACCATTCCTCAACTTCACTATTTGAAGAAAAAAAAAGATAAACCTAATTGCTGTTCACTAAGTATTACGGCTAGATGGCGTTAGCTGCCGCCCAATCTAAAAGCTACAGCCACATCAATCCATCCATCCATCCATCCGCGATGCTATTGGCCGTGGCCACTAGACCGGTGCGGTTGCCACGCGGCTGCATTCAGCAAGTTGCATGCTTCCCCCCCAAAACTGCGACTTCTAATGGGCGTCAATAATTGCAGAATTAATAACGCCTGTTACTGCGCAGAAATATATCAAAATTGGTATGTTCTATTCCTAAAAAATCAGGGTAAATTGCAACAGGAATGTTTCAGTTTTCGTTTCACGAACCCTTTAAGGCTGCTTGCAAGTCACGTATTTTGAAAGGTCGATCGAGATCTCTATTGTCAGACCCTGCGTGCGAGTTTGCAAGTCCTTGTGAGTCCCGATGAGTGCAGAGGCACTGATCTCACAGTTAATCTGCCAGTTTCTTGACATCTTCTTCAAAAGCATATATGGCCTTTTGAAGATGATTTAGAGTTTCTGGTTTGCTTGTTGTCGGGTAGTTTGTGTAGCTCAGAACAAGCACCAGGTCTTAATACTGCAAATTTGTCCTGCTGTCATATTGCAACAGTCCACTCAATCACAGTCGGCAAGTTGTGCGGGATATTGCTTTGCTTGTTGGGTGATTTGGGCGGTGTTTGAGTTTTTTGTTGTGTTTTTTTCATTGCCACCTGCGGACTAGGTGGTGAAGTGCCTCCCAGAGATGAAGGAAATGGTTGTTCACCTTCAGAATTGCCTCGCATAACTTAATTGGAGCTTCTGGTCGGTTGAGATGACTGAAAAGTATTTTGAGCCTAATTATAGTATCTCTGTTCATGAATGGGGATCGAGATGTGTACTCTTGTATCAACTTTGTGACAAGGAATCGCTATTCCCATAATCCGAACTTTGGCGCTAACGCTAGCTATAACTGCATAATGCGAGGAATTTGATTACGAGCTATACTTGCCTAGTGAATCACAACAAAAACAGGAAAGGGCTTTTTTTAGATCCGAACTGAATGCGCCTCCATTGCAGATCAACGAAACCCACATACACAAAAAACACACACATTGTGCGTCATGTCACCACCACTGCGTATGCACAGACTAGCATATTGAAAAAGCCCACTACTCACTTGCTCCGTCAACTCCACAACCAGGGGCTGGCTGTTCATTGCGACGAATGTCCGAATCTTATCACAGGTGGGCTTCAATGCGAGAGTGTTTCTGCGCTCGTCAAACTGCGAAAGGAGAAGAAAACGTCAACATTCATTTTGGTGCAAACGTACGTTCACAGGCAGACACGTCTTATATTGAAACCTTTTCATTAAATTAAGATGAAACTGTAGCGCATGAAACGAAGTCTGTGACAGAGCCGCTGTGAGTAAATGCACAACAGCACATGGTAGTTTATTGCGGATGCGATTGAAGTGTACAAAACGAAAATATAAATAAACTTGTGGCATTTGAATGTGGAACACAATGCATGTTGACAGCAGTTGCAACTGCTCATAACATCATGCAAAAGTGTGACGGCTCGGTTATAGTGCCGACATCAGGTCATTTGCACCTCAATTGAAGCCGCACGTTTGAATCTGGTTCACAAAGTCTACACCTAATTTATTCACAACCAAAAGTGTTATAACCGCACTGCACAAGTAATTTTCCATGCTGAGTGAATGGGCGCTGTGCAAGTGACAAGTGATGTATGATCCTCGCCATTTTTAATTTTTGTATGTCATGATTGTACTGAAAAGACATGCTGAAGAACTTGGGGCGCCGTTTGCAGACACTGGTAGCCAACAATCAGGAGCAGATTATGAATCCTAATTGCCGGAAAGACCATGGTACAGCGAATGTTGCACAGTGACACGCTGGCAGACCAACTCAGGGCTGTCTATAAGACCCGTGTGGCGGCAGAGTTGCTTGGCCTCTCTGTACGGACGTGGGAGCAGCCAGCATCAGTCCTGGACTGGTCCTCAGGACTTTATTAAAGTTCTTTATACCATACCGTACTACCTGCAGCACTGGCCCATCCATTGAGACACCCTCAAGTCACCCTAAGTACAGCTGCAAATGCCCGTATGAGAAAACGCAGCCGCGTTTCAAGCATACATAAAGTGTGTTGGGGTCGAGGCCCACCACGGTGGTCACTGCATGGACGTCAACCAATTTGGACTTTTTTTTCACCCATGACAAAGGTTGAGTGGGCGTTCTCTCAATTCAAGGAGGCATTGTCCAATCGCCGCCGAAGCAGCTGGATGCTGCCTAATATTTTTTTTATTGTGAGGCTAACTTTGCTCGCGACTGTATCCGTCTCTCGGCGACCGTCCGCACTTTCACCCTCTCCTTGCGTGAGCATCAGAAGGTGGGGTGGAGGAGGTGGCAGAGCACTGCCTCCGGTTCGTTTCTCCGTTCCCATTTATTTCTTCGCCGCACAGCAGCTGCATTCCCATATAGCACGCGCTCCCTTCGTTGCACTTTTCACGCTGCGCTGGGTGTTCACATTGCGGCATACACCCTCACGGTAATACTACACAAAGGAATAGAGGGAACATAAGTGATACGCAGCATATACACTCAGGAAAGCTTGTGGGGGAGGGGGGCTAACTGGAACATACTGTAGGTAAAGGCTGCGCTGCAAAGTTAAGGATAAAAAAAAACTGCACTAACCCAGACAAAGCGTATCTAACTGAATTAATTGAAAGAAAGACAAAAAAGGGTGGGCTGACATACGAGGGAGAGGGCACTGAAAATAAACCACGCACGATCCTACCGGGGTGCTATCTATGCCGTAAAACATAGCACCATTGTAGGATCGTGCATGGTTTGCCATTAGTGCCCTCTTTCTCGAGTGTCATCCCACCCCCTTTTTGCTTTTGTTTTCAGTAAAATTTGTTGTTTGAGGCGCTTTGTCCGTGTTAGTACAGTTTTACTTTTCGTCCTTAACTTTTGCAACGAAGCCTCTAACTAGAACATATACGCAAATAGATACTACACGGAAACACACAAATGGAAACAAGTTGAAAGAGAAGTGAACATCAGCGCTGCTTTTCATTCACAGATAATTCTGTTGAGTGCGATATGGTACAATTTTTTTTAATCATGAGTATGAGTACAACGAAGGAAAACAAAAGCTCGCGCTGCTTGGGCTTCAATTGCGAAGGGCTATCGAAGTTTCGACAGAGTTCTCAGGTTCCTCGTTGACACGATATACTATGACTCAACGGTCTTCTTAACGTTTCGTATAGCAGCCCATGCTTGACCATTGAGTGAATAGGCTGTGTTGGCAGGCCTTCGAAACGCCTTTGTGATAGTGGCATTATTCTCTTGCTCGACCCTTGCAGCATCGGTTGGGCTTCAGGTAGGCCATAATCTGGGCCCGCTGCAAACGGATAACGTGAACAGCAGGCAGTCAATGAAACGCTACACCTAACGGCAGCGTGTAGTGCTCACCCATAGTCGTACCGAGGCGAGTATCATTTATCCGAGATATACGCAAATCGACAGGGCCCCAACTCACCACAGGAGCTCATCAACCACTGCCGATTCGGCGCATATCTCCGATCTAAACGGTTGCAACTGAAGAATAAGATAAGACCCACCTACGAGGCCGCGCAGTACCTTTATTTTGGATGCCTCTGTGTGTCAAAAGAATTAAGTGGTTTAAAACCGATGAATCCAGGAGCACGAGGACCATCGAGTGCCCTCTTTCTCGAGTGCCGCCCCATCCCCTTTTGTTTTTTTTTTTCGTTTCAATAAAATTGGTTGTTTGATGCGATGTCGGTATACATCAAAAGTACCACGTGCAAAAGTTTATACGGCGTCAAATAATGACTGGCGAGATTTATACTGAGGTATGCACGAAGAACAATGAAAAACATTCTTTTGGAAAAATAATCACGCGAACGAAATCTAGATAATGGCTGCCAGTGCACTGATTGATTGGTATGTGGGGTTTAACGTCCCAAAACCACCTTATGATTATGAGAGACACTGTAATGAAGGGCTCTCGAAATTTACACTACCTGGGGTTCTTTAATGTGCACCCAAATCTGAACACACCGGCCTAAAACATTTCCGCCTCCATCGGAAATGCAGCCGCCGCGGCCGAGAGTTGATCCCGTGACGTGCGGGTCAGCAGCCGAGTACCGTAGCCACTAGACTACCGCGGTGGGGCATGGCTGCCAATGAAGCTGTGCCTTACCTCTCGTATAAGAAATTACGCAGTGTATTCAATGATGCATTTTTCATTCGTTTAACCCAACAATCATCTCATAAGAGAGAGTGGTCGGACATGGACGCGCATTTTAATGGGGCCCTGCAACACTTTTGAAGCATGGTTAGAAAATGCTGCCGATCAGTGGTTGAGGCTCCTGACAACATGCGAGCCAATTAAAATAGCGCAGCACGCGGCCTAGAATCCAAAATAAATGATCAAAATCAGCTAAAATGTGCTTTCTCTTTTCTTGACAAATCGCGCAATATACCCGAAAACCACGCAGCCCTTCTCTCCGCCATTCACTGATATTAACATGGCGCGCTCACTCGTTACAGAGGTCACCGCAGGAGGCCGCTACAGGCCAAGGTGCTAGGCTTGAAGGGGACGAAGGTATTGAATATATAAGAACAAGGGTGACAGAAAATTTTCAACAAAGTGCTTTATGCACCACAATAGACAAGGATGAATCAAATAGTGCAATGGCTCCATTTTCACAACGAGAGTGGGAAAGGGCTGAGAAAAGAGTTCCTAGTAGTACATCAACAGGCCAAGATGGCATTCCAATTATGCTGATAAAGTCATTAAGTCCGAAGTCTAAGCAGGCTTTGAGAGAGGCAGTGAGCAAACTAATAATCGGTGGTGAAGTTCCCGATGGATGGAAACTTAGCAGGGTGAGCATGATCTATAAAGGAAAGGGGGACAAAGCTGACGTAAAGAACTACCGTCCTATAACAGTGACATCAGTGGTCTAAAGGCTGGCGATGCAGATTATAAAGGAAAGACTGAAGGCATGGATATAGAATGAGGGGGTGCTGGGAGAACTGCAGAATGGGTTTCGGAAACACAGAAGGTTGGAAGACAATTTGTTCTCACTGACGCAGTGCATCGAAATAGCAGAAAAGGAACACAGGCCCCTGTGGCTAGCATTTTTGGATATCAAGGGAGCGTACGATAGCGTGGTTCAAGACGAATTGTGGGGAATACCGGAAACACTAGGCGTGGAACATGTAGTCACTAATCTTTTAAAGGATATCTATAAAGGTAACAAGGTATATATAAAGCGGGAAAAATAAGTATCCAAGCCTGCAGAGGTAAAACGGGGGCTTGGGCAGGGGTGCCCCCTGTCACCCTTATTATTCATGATGTACCTACAAGGATTAGAGGCCAAATTAGAGGGAAATGGACTGGGCTTCAACCTCTCTTTTGTCAAACAAGGAAAACTCATTGATCAGGCACTACCAGCAATAATGTACGCAAATGATATAGTGCTAATGGCCGACAACCAGGAAGATTTGCGGAGATTGATGGACATCTGCGGTAATGAGGGGGATAGGTTAGATTTTAGATTCAGTAAGGACAAATCAGCAGTCATGATTTTCAATGATAACGAAGGTAGTGAGCTTAGAATACAGGAGGTCACGCTAGAGATAACAGATAAATACAAATATCTGGGCGTATGGATAAGCAATCAGGCCGAGTACCTAAGGCAACACGAAATATACGTAACTAAAGGTAACAGGAATGCAGCGGTGATGAAAAACAGGGCACTGTGGAATTACAATACATAGTGTTCATGTGATGTCACTTCCACCGTTGTCGCCTTCTCCCGCCATGCCTCGGTACCTACGGCAGTTCGCGTGCTGCAGCGCTGTTCATGGGGGGCTCGTTATCTGTTGACAATGTTGAAAGAGAACGATTGTGCTTTTTGTTGTTGTTGTGATACTTTAACGACCTCATCGAATCAGGAAGGGCTCGTTTGTTCACTCGATACAAGATCAGAAAATCAAGATGTGCGACACGTATACCAGCCGCCGCGTACACCGGCTGCCCGCCACGACGTACGAGGGCCCATTATCTCGCTTTCACTACAAACACTACAAATTGCGTGCCCTAGGAACAAGTGGAAGCCCAAAGTCTCTCGAGCTGCCATATTAAGAGTGGATGAGCGAAGCGCAGCAGCTTCCATCTAAAATAAGTCGTGCAGAGCGAGACAAGTTTACAAGAGATATAATATTATAATATACTGCTGCGGCCCACGCCCTCAAAGTAGCAGCGTCCCGCCCCCCCCAAGTGTTTTAAACAGTGCTGATGTTGAGCCTGTTTGATTGAAATTTGTGGAAACAGCCGCAGAAAACATTATGCGAGGCACATAGAGACTTCACGTGGTGCGTGCCGCGGTAATGCCGGTCATCACTTTCTTTTTTCGCGTATGTTTTGAAACCTTTTCACCTTGTATTTTACTTTTTTTACGCTAATGTACAGTGGAGACCCTGAAAATGATTTAGACCGTGTTAGGGAATTATTTGACCAATTTTTTTAAAATCCTGACCCCTCAACTCGAACCGATCGACTATACTTCAAAGTGAACTACTATCGTTTTGCATCCATTTTCACAGTTTTTTTTCAATGCAATGCCCGAATTTCTGCGATAAGCATCACAATTTTCACCGCCTCCCTAACACACTGATTGTACACGCAGTGGTCAATGACAAGTTTGTATGTACAGTATCTTGGAAAGCTATCTCTGTTTGCAGGTAAGAGCTTGGCTACGGCACTTACCCGGAATGAAGTTACACCTGAAGACGCAAATATCACCGAGTTTCTTCAAGTTGTTTTTTTTTGTTAATCCGTGCCAGCCAAACACACCGGTACTTTTTGGAAAATCGCAAAGTGCGTTCTCAACTTTCGGCGAAAAAACACCCCGAAGTTCTACTCTCTCTTCGGGGACTACTAAATCAACTTGCCTCACTAGCAGCCCCCAAACTTGCATGGTGAGGCAAAACTAATAGGGCGCCAGCACGAGGAGACAACACGGTAGCGGTAAGCGACGGAGTCGGCAGGTACCCGGGCATGCCGGTGGCGCATTTCGGAAGCGACGAAGGGGCGCTGCATGACGCACGTGCACACTATGTATAGGTGTGATGTTGTGAGAAGAATATGGAAAGGGGTCATGGTTCCTGGTCTGACGTTCGGCAATGTGGTCTTGTGCATACGATCAGAAGCTCAAGCAACATTATAAATTAAGCAACGTGGAATAGGTAGGCTTGCCTTAGGAGCTTACGGGAATACACCAAATCAGGGAGTACGAGGTTATATGGGATGGACGTCATTTGAGGGCAGGGAAGGTAGCAGCAAGATAAAAATTGAGAAGCGATTGAGAGAAATGGGGGAGGAGCGTTGGGCTAAAAAAGGTACTCAGCTACTTGTACATGAAGAATATCAATACAAACCTAGGAAGCGAACCAGAAAGTTGACAGGTAAATACTTCGAAAACAGCAGGGGGCCAAACCAAAAAGTATTATCGGTCAAGAAGAAGGTGATGGAAGCTGAGAACGATATGTGGGGAATTGGCATGATTAAGAAGTCCGCACTAGAGATCTATCGAACTTTTATGCAGGAAATTGCCAAGGAAAGGATCTATGATAATACTCGGGGTAGTTCTCTACTGTTTGAAGCGAGGACGGGAGTACAGCGAACCAAGACATAACTGGCCAAATACGAAGGAGTAGACACGGTATGCAGTGCGTGTGGAGAGGAAGAGGAAATTGCCGAACACTTGATAATGTTCTGTAAAGGGCTTCCCTATAGTTCAGGATGATGGCGCAGATTTTTTCAAAGCACTGGGGTTTAGGGACAGGAAGGGCGAAATAGACTTTAAGCGGGTACAATTAACTAGAACGAGGTTATCTGATTGGTGGCTAAACTGAAGGCATGAGTTAAAAGATTCACTGAAAAGCACGAGTCCTCAACCTCACTATTTAAAGAGAAAAAATTAAATCTAATTTTTGGTTCACTAAGTATTATGACTTGGTGGCGTTACCCACCACCCGATCTAATGGGTACAGCCATATAAATCCATCCATCCATGTGTGCGCGAGCACACTGAGAAAGCCGCGCATTCAAAGAAAACAAAGAAAAAAGTGCTCAAGGTCAGAAGGCGTGCGTGTCCTTTTTCTGTGGCCCTTCCAGCGTTTTCGTCGGGACGAGAGAATAGAAATTGGAATTGCACCATGCGACAAACTTTTGTACTTCCAGTCGCACTGTATGCACTCTTAAAATTTTTGCGGCGTTTATTTTGCGAGGCAATAAGCTCTTCCACTGAATTCATTCCGTGGTTATTTGAAAAAGAGTTTTAAAGCCCCCTTTAGAACGGACTGTGGTAGGGGAGAGGGGTGGGTGGGTGTTGGATATGGAAATAAAGACGTACATAGAGCACAGCACTTCGTTTTCAAAAGGCTCCGAAATAGGAGGCGATGCAAGGATATTAGAAGGTCCTCGAGTGTACTATAAATGACTATAGCTCTTTCAAAAAAAATGGTAGGAAGAAAAGATGGAAGTTTGCGTTTCGACAGGTTGACTTGTCTGCCTGAAGGCTAGAATAAAACTGTTCTGTTCTCGCCTTGAGAAAGACGTGTCCTCTTGTCGAAATGTCAGCTCAGCGCAACCCCGGTTTACAGATTTTTCATTTTAGGTGTTTGTAACTGTCCATGCTGAAGCAGCTTGAAAACAGATGCAAAACAAATACAGTAGATGCCGCATGTTAGCGTTTCTCTGAATGCTCTCTATACACCTTCCAGTTTATTCTAAGGTTGTCACAGACAATAAAACTAATGAAAAGTTGTGAAGAGTGGTAGGCGTCATCTACATACTTATTAAGCACTGGGCGGAGCCTACGTGCCACGACGTCGCTACAAGCGCCTCAGTAAGTCGACGGTACCTCCCGCTGTTTATAATCATCGAGTAGGTCTAACTTGTGGTGAGCTACCAACTTCCACTGTACAGCACTGACCTACTTGAAGAGCATCACTCCGTCCTTGCTGGCACCAAGCTCCTTGTAGACGGTGTCGTCCGATGTGATGGCAAACGCGGGCCGTTCGATAGTGTACGCAGCCTTGATGAACTCTTTGGCCTCGTGGCTCGTCTGGTTTTTGAAGAAGCCCACGATGGTGACCTCCGCGCTGTCCACGAAGATCCTCGCATCGTCCACAGTGCTGAGTATCTGAGCCGGTGGTTCGGTTTTCTTCTTAACCCACTGGATCATCTCCTCTATGGTATGGCTACTCTTGTAGTCAACCGGATGTCCATTGCGGAAAAACATGAGTGTCGGCAAGCTGTGCAGGTACTTCCAAGCGAGCAGACCCTTGAAGGTTGTGTACACCTTGGCCAGCTTGATGTCCGAGCCTTCTTCCTCGAGCTGCTTGGCAGCCTTGGGAAATTTGGGCACGAGGGCCTCGCACTTTTGATGCAGGAGAGGTCTGCAAAGGCAGCCGAACAATTTCTCAAACACAAAGAAAGAGCACAATATCCGAACACTTCACAGATTAGCGGAGTCCGAGGCTTTCGCCTGCTAAGGCCTCATCACTTCTCGGTGACGTCTTTTGGAAAAAACGGGCAGCACGGAGGGTGCGTTCTCTGAAATGACCATTGCTACAAACTCGTTAGTGTTCTAATGGCGAGTTACAAATCCTGCTTGAAAGAGATTCGAAACATATGCCCGGTTCATGCGGTTTCCCATTTCCCGAAAGCGCCAACAAGGCAAACAACTCCGTCAATAGTGTTGTGACGTAGGCACTCGCAAAGGAGGATAAGAATAGGCCCAAGCTTGTCTGGATGGTGTCGGTTATTCTCTGGGGGTGCTGGTTCTCTAAAAATAGCCAAAGTACTTGTGTTGTTTTAAAAAAGTGATAAACAATGTCTTTCTAGTTATCGTCCGATCTATATTCATTCTTCCTACATGAAAGTCATCAAATATTATTCATAGTTTGGCTTAACAAGAATAAATTTAATGTATTGAAGTCCTGTTCATTTACCTTTCGCTCTGTAAGTTCAACTAACTCTGCCCTTCTTTCCTATTCTGACCAAATCAAACGCTTCATTGATTGAGGGTGCATCCACGGGTCCATTTTCTTAGATTTATCAAAGCCATTCGACACCACTTTTCATCTCATTTTGTCCAAGAAGCAAGACGCATACGGCATCACAGGTGCATCCCTCAAGTCTCTAAACAGTTACCTGGTTTTTTGAAAACATATTGCATACATAGCAGGTTCTTTTTCATCGACTAAAACAATAAATAAAGGATTCCTCAAGGCTCACTACTGGGTCCCATATTTTTTTACTGTACATTAATGACCTTCCTGACATTATAAACAAGGCTCACTGCGTCTTATATGATGACGATAGAACCATTTCATTTGCTGGTAATTGTGTTACCTGTGTCGCTATTAATATAAATGCTACACTTTGTAACGTGATCATGTGGTGTAAAAAATCACCTAGTTATTAATTGAAAGAAATATAAATTTCTGGTTTTTAGATCACCTCAATGCAAGGTGAATAATCTCCAATGATTAACATTGACTTTCATTTTATTAGTATCACTGGCAGCGTATCATTTCTTGGTGTTCTACTCGATGTAAACCTTCAATTCAACCTCCATGTTGCTCACGTTAGAAAAAGGACAGCATTCGCGCATTACTTAAAGCTCGCTCACATTTCTCTCTTAAAGTACTCCTTTTTCTTTACCTCGTTTTCATTCATTATCATATCACTTACGGTATCGCTCCATAGCTTATCAGTGTTATCTTTCATCCTTACAGCGTTTACAAAATAGAGCCCTTCGCGTTTTTTTAACTGTGTTCACCACAGTAACGTCACTCACCTCCTTTATTGTAGTAATATCTTTACTGTTAGCAACTTATTTACATTCAATCTACAAATGGTTCTGCATAAATACGTAATACATAAGCTCGCTACCAATTTCATGGAATATGACGTTTTAGTTAATACTAACCTTCCATGGTTTGCGGCCAGCAATCACCTCCTGCTACCTAACATTCATACTATTATGGTAAATCATCTTCACACTTCTGTGTCCTCTCATTATGGAACTCTTTACCCTCTTCACTATAATGTAAAATTAGTTTGATTTCATTTAAAAACTCATTAGAGCATTTTTGTTAAATATGTGAAGTTCCTTCATTTAAGTGTACCAGTTTTATTGCGATACATTGTACTAATGAAGTGCGTTTTAGTGCCTTGTTTCGTTTTTATTCTAGTTTAGGCACTCATTGGTTGTTCAGTTGTTCCAGTGTGGTGGTGCTTTTACGTTTACTCATTGTATGTTGTGTTTTTTTTTGTTTCTGGCCTATTTGCTTTCATATTCGTTTTTTTTCTGTTCTCACTGCTGATTTTGCTTGTTTTTTTCAATTGTAACGATAACCGAGGGCTCCTTAGCAGCCGCGAACTTTGGGATCCTCGTCAAAATACTTCATACTTTGTGTTAAGGTTTTGTCTTAATAAAACTCATTGATTGATGAATTGATTCACCATAAGAAACTGTTTATTCATCATCATCATCATCATCATATCCAGCTTGTTTATGCCCACTGCAGGGCAAAAGCCTCTCCCATGATCCGCCAATCAACCCGGTGCCGTTCTGTGCGTTGCCACGTTATCCCTGCGAACTTTCTAATCTCATCGGCCATCCTAACTTTCTGTCTCCCCTTCGTGTGTGTGCCTTTTTTGGGAATCCATTCAGTAACCTTTAAAGACCAGCGGTTATCCTGCCTTCGTGCTACGTGCCCGCCCCATGTCCATTTCTTCTTGATATCAACTATGAAGTCCTTCACCCCGGTTTGATCTCTGACCCACTCTGACCTCTTTTTGTCTCTTAAGGTTACACCTACTATTTTCATTTTCATCGCTCGCTGTGTCGCCCTCAATTTGAGCTGGACCTTCTTTGTAACCCTCCAGGTTTCTGCCTTTTAGGAAAGTACTGGCAAGATTTAGCTGTTATATACCTTCTTCGTGAGAGTTAGTGGCAGATTATTATTCATGACTTCAGAATGCTTGCCGAATGTGATCCACCCTATCCTAATTCTTCCAGGTATTTCAGTCTCAATGTTAGGCTCCGCGCTTACTACCTTACCTAACTATAGACACATTCTTCACAACTTTCAGCGTCTCTCCACCTACCGCGAAGTGCTGTTTTCTGCCGAGACTGTTGTACATTACTTTAGTTTTGTGCATATTAAATTACGGCCCAATTTTTGCTCTGAGTGTCCAGTTCTGTAGTCACGAGCTGTAATTCATCCTCGGATGTTACTCATCATGGCAATACTATCAGTGAGTCACTGGTTATTAGGATACTCTCTATTAACTCTTACCCCTAACTCTTCCTGGTCTAGGGTCCTGAAAATGTCCTGTAAACACACGGTGAATAGCATTAGAGAGATCGTGTCTCCCTGCCTTACACCCTTCTTTATTGTGTTTCTTTCGCTTTCTTTATCGAGAACTATAGTGGCTGTGGATCCACCGTAGATTTTTTCCAGTATGTTTATATAGCGCTCTTCGATGTCCGTATTCCGTAGTGCCTGCATTACTGCTGATGTGTTGACTGAGTCAAACGTGTCCTCGTGTTCTATGAAGGCTATGTATAAGGGTTTGTTGTATTTTGCGCATTTGTTTATTACCTGATGGATAGTAATATTATGGTCAATAGTGAAATAGACTGTATCAGGCGTTTTCCTATGTTTATTCAACTCTAATGTCACCCGAGTTCTATTAGCTGATATTTTAAGAAATATTTGGTAGAGAATGCACAGCAAGCTGATTGGCCTGCAATTTTTTAGGTCCTTGGTGTCTCCTTTATCATTGATTAAAACGATGTTGGAGTTCTTCCAAGATTATGGTACTAAGTTTTTCAAGAGACACTTCTTATATAAGGTGGCAAGTTTTGTAACACAATTTCTCCGCCATCTTTCAGAAGGTCCGCTGTTATGCTCTTCAGCGGTTTTGCCTCTTTGCATTCCTTCTAGGGCTTTCCTTACTTTCCCTGTCGTTACTGGTAAGAAGTCGAATTCATCTGGGCTAATATCTTTTCGCACGATATTATCCTGGCTGTTTCGGCTTCATTACAGCTCTCTGTAGAACTCCTATGCCACCTCAACTATCCTATCTGTATTATGACATCGCTTTTTTTGTTCCTTAATGCAAAAATTTGATTTTTACCTATGTACAAGCTTGCCTACGCAGCTTTCAGCCTTCTGACGCTTTTTACAGAATGCTAATTCCTCTGGATGTTATATCTTCTGACGACGGCTACCTTACGCCCATTGGTTAATTTTGAAAGCTCCACTAGCTCAATTTTGCCGCTTACATTTGAGGTTTTCACGGTCTGTCATCTCTTGACAAGATCCTTCGTCTCCTGAGATAGTTTCCTGGTGTCCTGTTCAGTCACTGTACCTTTGACTTCCGTTGTGCACTCTTGGTAGACGAAGAAGGTGCTTAACACCGCAAACCTCAAGAGGGGGTAGAATTCCGCGTTCTGCTCTCGTCTCTTCTATCCCCTCCTGTCGTTTGCGCTGTTGAGCACCTTCTTCGTATACGATGCAGCACCAACCGGCCCAATGAAGCACTTCGTTAATGTACAGTCTTTGATGATACTAGTAAGATTAACTTTTACTGCGTCATTGTTAACGTCAGTTACCTCGTTTAGTGCCTTGAGTATATTCTGAAGCGAAACTCTTGATTCCCGTACTTTCGTTCTCACTGCAAGTTTATTACTTGGATTCTTGCGTATCATGAAGTTTTTTCTTTGCTTTTTTTAAACCTAGGAGCATACGAGCTGTTGCCATTTTCTGATCACTACATCAGATCTTGCCAACTACTTCCAAATCCTGTACAGCACCTGGGTGTGCACACAAAATGAAGTCTGTCTCATTTTTAGTTTCGCCATCAGGACTTCACCACATCCTCTTATGGTTAGCTCGTTTTCTGAAGAAGGTGTTCAAGATCCTTAAGATAATACGTTCGGCGAACTCTACTTATAACTCCTCTGTGGCATTTCCACAGTTGAGGCCATATTACCCCACTTCATGGTCTTTGGCCTGTTTTGTTCCAACTTTGGCGTTAAAATCGTCTATCAGAATAGTATACTGTGACTATACTTTATTATTGGCTGACTATGTATATACGTCTTCATAGAAGCGTTCAACGAAATTATCATCATGGCTCGATATAGGCGCGTAGGTCTGTACATTACGATCATCTTGGGTCTTTTCCGAAGCTTAATTATGATACTTGCCACCCTCTCACGGAATGCTATAGTATTCCTCTATGTTGCCAGCAGTGCTCTTGTGTATAAGAATCCCCACCACTAGTTCTTTTCTGTAAAATAATTCACGGTAGCCTAGGACGTGTCTGTTTTCAAGCACTGTATAAGCTTCGCGTGTCATCTTAACTTCCCTGAGCCATATTATATCCCATTGAACACCCTCTGGTTCCTCGAATAGGACAGCTGTACTATTTCCCTAGACAGCGTTCTAGCGTTGAAACTAGCCAAATTCAGATTGCAATAGCGGCTTGTCTGGATCCAGAGATTCTTAGCACCCTCCGCTGCATCGCAGTTCTGACCGCCGCTTCGGATAGTTGCTGCGCAGCCACTGGTGACTGAGGGCCAAGAGTTGACTGCTGTAGTCATGGAGGTAGTGGCAAAGTACTGCACCAGGTTGGCCAATCCGGCTCTGGTGGGGAAGTGCATTACTGGCAGGTGGTCGCCAGTGAGGCCGCACCCTGGTACTCTTGTTTTTTCTTCAAAGGATTTCCTTACCACGCGTTTTATTTAAATATACAATTGAGAATGGTCCGGAATCTGCATTCTAACCGAATTTTGTCATTCCGTGCTAAACTGCTGCGCTATCTCCTAGCAAGGGTTCTGTTGCACTTCCTTAGCACTGTTGAACACCACCTGACCGCACATCAGCTCTCAGCTTCATGTGACTCGTAGCTCCAATGGCCTTATTTTTTTACCTGTCTGAAAAAAAAACGTCAATACACCACCTCGCGCGGTTTTAGACTTCTGGCCTTGCGATCTCCGGCCGGCTTAGCGCCCTGGATGATCAATATTTTACGCATTTATTTTCTCCCAACTTCTTCCGATCTCGCCCAAGTTTGAGATTGTTGTTTTCAAAATGCCCGCTAGATCCGAGGTTTTCTGATTTCAAGGGGTAGCACTTCCACTTTGCCGTTACCTGTCAACTGACGAGTTGCGTGCGCCTGTGTTTCGAACTAATCGGCTACTTCTATATCAGTAGGGAGTTTTAGAGAACCGTTTGTAAGCGTTGCGGGCGTAGCGGGCGCCATATGAGTTTTAGAATAGCGTTTCCCCGGTTGCGAACCAGAACGCACGATTGCAGCGACACCGTAGCCTCGAAACCAGCCCTTGCGGGCCACATGCGGGCCGCCATTACCGCACGCAGTTTCGCATTTTTTGCGTGCGGTCCGCGAATGCGATCGCCGACTCGCGTTACGACGCATGCGCAGTGGCAGCGACCGCACCGCAAGGGCTCGCGGTGCGCTATTCTAAAACTCCCTATTGTTACGTTGAGGGAATACGTCGCGGGCGGTTGGTGTGCGTGAAAGTTAAACGTGAGAAAGTTCATACTGCTAAAGAAAAGACAGGGGCTGCCTTTCAGGCTGTATCCCATTTCGTTGGTGTTTTGGAGTAGTAATTAAAACTCTGGCAAATGGACATAAAAGTAGAGAGTGGCCCTCAGTCGGGAGTCAAATATACATAATAGTAATTAGATCAATGGTTAGCTTATTAATCGTAAATGATAGATGATGAAGAGGTAATACCCCTGTCACACGGTCAATCACGAAGACCGTTTAACTCCCACGTCCTCACGACAACGAAGATGCGGCCCGTGTCACACGACCGCCCTTACGCAAACGAAGGTAAACGGAGCATTTCGCGAAGAACGTTCCACGATCTCCCTTCACAGCGAAACGAGGTACTCTCGTTCCCAGCAGTCTAGAGGTCAGAGAAAAAGTTTGAGCAAGAAGTGGCCGCAGTGAAAGAATAATACATTTTGGCAATATTAAACGTTCTTTCGTTGTAGTACTTTCACAACGCGTGTTTGTTCATATATATGTACGCCCGCCAGAGTTCACTTACTCTCAACACCAATGCCCTACACACCGTGCCTCGCGAGTCGGGCCAGCTGGCACCAGCCGATCAACGTCATTACCAGCGCAATATCGTACCTGTTCCTCACGTCGTCCGTTGAGTCACTCATGGCTGAAGAAAACAAAACGTGCGCTCAAGAGACAAGAAAACATAAGAACTTTCGTACCGGGCATGTACACAGTCAACAAAACAACTAAAAACACAATGTGGCCAGCGTCACTAGCAGCACCGATACATTTAGCGAATGCTTTTTTATTTGAAATTATATTTATTGGTTTGTTTCTCGCATACCTACTTAATAGTGCTTTTTTGTAAAAACCGCATAACAAGAGTTCACAAAAAATTAATACAGATGAAATTAAAATACTTTTCCGAAAACCAAACAGCGTCAGCTGAGCCCCCTCGTGGCAACTGTTACAATCTTGTCATTGCCGTGTGACACTGCCACAACTCCTTCTCCGTCGAACCCTCTAGGGAAGTGTTCAACGGAGTTTAGTGGTGGCCGTGTGACAGGGGTATAAGGAGTGAAATAATACAGTTCTAGAAAGCGGCGGAAGGTAGGAAACTTTTTACAAATAAATGACATGTTTGCATCAATCACAAACAGTTTAGTATATTTTAAATTTGTTTTGCAAGGGAATTACTTTGCCGTTTCAGACTCTGGACATTTTTAGATACGGAGCACTGAGCCCTCTTTTTTTTATTTTCTTTCGCGCTGAGGTTAGGACATAGTGAACTAGTAGTTAAGGATCTGGTCTTCATGGTTGAATTGCATTAGATTGGATGATGCTCGAACGACAGACTTTAGTGCATTCTACGTTTCTTGCCAAATTTACCGGTATCGAGAAAATTTCGTAGCTTGTTCGCTAATTTCTGTAGAGCCTAGTGCTATTTCAACAAATTTAATGGTTTGGTTCAGGTACGGGCAAAAATAAGGATTTCTATCATATTGGCCCAATTGGCGCCGCTGTTGCACGCCTGCTGAGATTTCGTGACAGCGCATTGCAGACACTGGTGAAAGCAGTAAAGTGGCCTGCGAAGATCAGCCGTACGTGTCAACGTCGAGCAAGAAGCTGTGATCATGGCTCCCCGAGGTAGTTAGATTAAATTTCTACGGCGCGACGAAGGCCAACTACAAGCTGTCCCTGTAGGAGCCATCCTTATTTTTTGAACTGTTACATCTACTTCAAGGGATGAAAACGCCGTTTGCTTGACCGATCAGAAATTTTCATGGGCTTTCTTTAAGAAAACCAACACGTGAGCTCACGACCAACGCTCTACGCTCACCGAACGATGGGACGTTTTGTTCAGTAGTGCTGTAAGCAGCAGCCGCATAGCGTGGGCAAAGCGATGGCATTTTTCTTTTCACTCTGTTCTGTTGACACGGAAATTAGAACGAGAGGGCAGAATCCTCGTACATACCGAACATGGCAAACACGTGCTTGTGCTCCTTAATGGCCGCATCGAAGTTGCTGTCGTTGAGGACGAGTACACGGTCCTCGATGTCGTAGTCAACGCAGTTGGCCACTGCTAAGCAGCACAGTAGGCCGATAAACCTTATGGAAAACATGATTCCTCTTCGTGTCGTTTTTACGAACTCTACAAGCGAACTGGTTAACAGCGCACCGCTGAACCCACCATGAGTGCAGCAAGACACGAAAGCCACTGTAGGAATGTGCCCCCTAACCACGTGACCTCATTCACGCCAATGACGTTTCAAGACGAGCTCGACGACTCAATGTGCGGTGGTGTCCCGCTGTTGCGCTGAGGTCTTTCCAAGTACGCGTTCGTATCCTACCTTTCTGCATGGTGGCCTTCCTTAGCTGTTCGCCACAGTTACCAACGCTTTTCCTCTTCCTGAGGTAGAACCTCTTTTTTCCCCCTTTTTTCTATCATGCCGTTTTCTCATCTCTCTCCCTGTCTCTTTTATCACCCTCGCCCGCAAGTTTCTATTTTTTTTTCTTTTTGCTTACTTCACACTGACGTCATGATTGTGAGACTCACTCACAATAGCCCCGTGTACATAGCCCCGTGTACATGGACGCGACGGGGGCGGGCTGAGTTGAGTGGCGGGTTCAGCTTACCTCGACGCGCCCGAGTTTATATGAACTCGCACGGACGAGTTGAGGTGAGCGGTGATCGCAGCGACGCTTTGCGTCGAGGCGAGCTGAAAGCCCGTCTTCCGGTACCGATTTCCGCTCCTCCAAGCCTGCGCTCTCGCCTCTCGCCGCTGTGGCATGGAGAAAGGGCTGCGCTTGTTTACGCAGTTGTCGCTCCACCACCGCGATGGCTGTCTTGGTATTTTTTCTCAAATTGCACCAGCTGTACTTTATGGTTGTGTTGGTGGCTTGGCTAACACTGCACAACGCGATGGCAGCAGTGGTTCTGTTGCGACACAGCGCTCCCCGCAGGCGTATTCGCAGCCTGATGCACCGTCCCCTGTTCACCCCTGGCTGGTCTCTCCAGGAATTCGCCGTACCGAATATAAATAATATTTTCTCGCGTAAAACAAAGATTCGTATTAAACTTACAGAAATAAATATCGTTTCTGCACCCTTTGAAATCATCCAAAGTGTATATTTTTTATATGGGGCGCCACACAGACCGATAAGTGCGTGAACATGAAGAATATTGCAAATTTTTCAAAATTCATGTGCCAGCGCTTCCAAACTACTGTCTTCGCGACTCGTACTTTTTATAGTGTAATCGTAGATGGTCTAGCGTACTGTCTGGGATATTTGGCGTGAAACGACCCTCATCTCCTCCAAAACCCGAAAACTAAACCCGAAAAAACGTTCGAAATGCCTAAGTCCATTCAGGGATTCATGAAACACGAATTAAAAAGAGCGAAACCAACCCTGGACTACGCTTTTCTTCTGGGGGAAATTACGTGTATTGGTAAAGGCACTTAATTTTTGTGATAAAGTCAATTTACACCACTTGCAAAAAAACCCAAAACAAAACTTACAAAGAATAAAATACCTGAAAGTATTTGCCTTTTCATAGTCGAACCTGGCTGTGAAGAACGCAAACGGGCCTATGTTGTTAACAGGGGCGGCTGTCTGAAATTCCATTCCGAAGCAAGGAAATCGGCCCCTCTGCTCCCGTGCGAGTCCATAATAGAGATATCCCCTCTTTTTGGTAAAAATGTCTTTGAAAAAGTTTTTTTGAGAGGTCGGAGCGCTCCCCAAAATCACCGCTGCTGTGTGTGTCTCCTTCTTTCGTCGCGTGTGCTTTTTCCTATTTATTGGTTTTCTGTTCCTTGAGGCCAACACACTCAGTGTGTGCCCCCGTCGCAAAAGGGCAGGCTACCATCATCATGAAGCGCAGACTCGCCACGCAGAGGTCAGAATTAGGCCCGTTTACATTGACCCGACGAGGGCGCGTTGAGTCGAAATAAACAGGTTTTTTGGAGTCGCCCTCCCCATGTAAAGCGGACGCGTCGGGGAGGAGAGTCGCCGCGGCGAGTCCCGTCGACCCGGAGACAGGGGGTAGGTTCACCGTACTCGCCGCGCTCAGAAAGGGCATGTATAACCGGTCGCGCTGAGTTGACGGCTCGTGACCTCTCCCGCCCGTCACGGTCTCCGCTTCCCCTGTCCCCATCACTCCGACTTTGCTCTATCTCTGTCGGCCGGTACGCGCGGAGGGCATCGTTCTGTTATGCGGTAAATGCAGATCACTTTTACGTTTAAATCTTGCTTGGCACGTTCTACGAGAGCTTGTTGGTTATCGTTCTCACGACCGGCTATTTTGCTCTGCCCGTAGCAGGAAATCGGCTTGTGCGCTAGAAATCTCAAATACGTGCACATGAACGCTTTAATAAAGTTTCTGGTCACCTCGCCATCTGAATACATTTACGTAAATTCACAGAATTGTCTACCTATGCGCAGCATTCCAACTCCGCTTGCATTTATTTTGCGTTCTTCACAGCCAGGTTCGAGTATGAAAAGGCAAATACTTTCGGGTATTTTATTCTTTGTAAGTTTTGTTTTGAGTTTTTTGCAAGTGGTGTAAATTGGCTTTATTACAAAAATTAAGTGCCTTTACCAATACACGTAATTTCCCCCAGAAGAAAAGCGTAGTCCAGGGTTGGTTTCGCTCTTTTTAATTCGTGTTTCATGAATCCCTGAATGGACTTAGGCATTTCGAACGTTTTTTCGGGTTTTGTTTTCGGGTTTTGGAGGAGATGAGTGTCATTTCACGCCAAATATCCCAGACAGTACGCTAGACCATCTACGATTACACTATAAAAAGTAATGGTTGGTCACTTTATTACACTATTCAATTTTGGAACCAATTTTCTAAAAAAAATTTTAATTTCTTAAATATGGTGGCAGTTAGGTTGCGACGAAACTTCGAAAAAGTGAAATATTATACGCAGCACGGCAAAACGATTCCAGTCGGTAGGAAAAGAACCGCATTTCCTTTTTAAAACGCATTCACCACTAGTGTATGTTAATGTGCTTTGCGGGGAAGCAATGCAGTGTTCTTGACCAAAGTCAGAAATTTTACAGCTTTTCAACTTTTCCAGAGACAACGCAGCTGCATAGCTTGCTTGCATTGTTGACGGTAAGTGGGGGAAAAACACGAGTCGCGAAGACAGTAGTTTGTAAGTGCTGGCACATGAACTTTGAAAAATTTGCAATATTGCTCATGTTCAGGCACTTATCGGTCTGTGTGGCGCTCCATATAAAAATATACACTTGAAATCATTTCAAAGGGTGCAGAAACGATATTTATTTCTGTAAGTTTAATACGAATCTTTGTTTTACGCGAGAAAATATTATTTATATTCGGTACGGCGAATTCCTGGAGAGACCAGCCAGGGGTGAACAGGGGACGGTGCGTCAGGCTGCGGATACGCCTGCGGCGAGCGCTGTGCCGCAACAGAACCACTGCTGCCATCGCGTTGTGCAGTGTTAGCCAAGACACCAACACAACCATAAAGTACAGCTGGTGCAAACTGAGAAAAAATACCAAGACAGCCATCGCGGTGGCGGAGCGACAACTGCGTAAACAACCGCAGCCCACAGCGGCGAGAGGCGAGAGCGCAGGTAGAGTGTACTAGAACTTTTGAGTGGCGCTACCGAAACGCTTTCCCCTTGCTTTCTCCATCCCCAACTTGTGGTGAAAGTAGCGGCGGCGCTGCCATCGCCCAATCTACCCCCTTGGTTTACTCGGCTGGCTCGGCGGCATGGCCGGCATCTCGGTTTTAGTCGCGAAATGACGAAGAAGCACCGTCTAAACCATTGTTACGTGCCAGGTTGCACAACTGGATATCCGCGTGTGCAACAAAGTCAGAAGTTATCGCTCTTTAAGGCCCCGAAAGACGAAGAACGACGACTTCTTTGGGAGCGGAACCTCCATCGGCTTGACAAGCCACTTGACGCCGATTGTGCTGTGTGCGAGTTACATTACGAACCGCATTTCATTGTGAGAGACTACGTACATGTTATCAATGGTGTTCAAGTCCGAATTCCTAGGGGAACGCCGACACTTGCCCCTGATGCAGTCCCGACGATCTTGCCCAACCTGCCTGCATATTTGACGCTTAAAACTCCAGCTCTGCGGACCCAAACAAAGCGGCGGCATCAGTGTGTGCCGGCTGAGAATGACAACAGAAAACGGCGACGCATTAGCACTCCTGCACAGCTCCTTGTGGATACCAACGGTGCAAATTCTTCAGATGGCGACGAAGCTGACGAGGCAAGCTCAAGTCCCTCGTCTGACGCGGTTGTCACTCTCGGTGACCTTCGTGGTCTTGTCCTACCATGAAAGTCATGGGCGCTGCACGAGTTTTCTGGATTTGACGGCGTGTCGTACGTAGCGTGCTCACTGAATCCTAGCACTCGTGAACTTTGCATTCAACGAGCCGTATACTTCACCTGTTTGAACAAGTCGCGGGATGAGAAACGAAGAAGCGCACAGCAGCACCTAAAATTGAGTAGGCTATAAAATGCTACAGTGGCGTAAAAAGGACGTCATTTTTCGTGCATATTTTCTTACACACTTAATTTTTGGACGGTACACCAAGAAGAAAAACAATTTTTCCTAGAAGAGGCTTGTAAGCGAGAGAACGTGCAAATAATGACGCGAAATCTCAAAATAAATATTTGATCTTGAATCTTTTTGTATTAAACCAGTGATGGTAAATTTAGCAGCATTAGGGATCTCGGTGCATAATTAATCAATCTAAGCCAATTCATTGTTACACTTCAGTGTCCCTTCAAACGATGTTTCGACCATAACATCTTTTTTTTTATTTAAATGCATTTTGGAAAGACAACATAAACTCTGTCGTTTTGTTTGCTTTGTTTTATGTTTTTTGTATCCTGGCTCTATATTTTACGTTTTTTACAATTTACCTAAGTCCAAATGTATTCTTTTTTTAAATATGTAAACCTTGCAATTTTATATTATTCAATAAGATTATCATTAGTTACGACTTTGCTTTGCAGTATTGTTGCGTTTTTTAAACTCTCAAAATCTTCGCCTACTATGTTTCACCTAAGACATTCTTCTGCGGTATTACGTATTTGCATTTCTGTGGGTCCTACAACAATGAATCTA